TCTCTCTTTCTCACTTTCTCTATCAGTAAATTGAATCTTTCAGTCTTCGTTGGCAACACCAATTACAAAACATACCAAAAAAATAGCAAGAAAAAGTAAAATGTCAGAACATACGCGTTAGATCAGACTAGCAACATTTTTTTTTTACTAAAAGCCGCGACACTTTCGTTCCTACTGACACGTGTAAACTCAGCTGAGATATTCGAGAACATTCGTGCATATTATTTTGTAGTTTGAAATGAAAGTCTGAGTATGTGTGTGTGCGTGCGTGCGTGTGTGTGTGTGTGTGTGTGTGTGTGTGTGTGTGTGTGTGTGTGTGTGTTGTGTGTGTGTGTGTGTGTGTGTGTGTGTGTGTGTGTAAGAAAGTAAAAACGAAATAGATAGAGAGAGGGTGGAGGGGAAGAGAGATAGGAGAGATAAATCAAGAGAGAGAGAGGCAAATATACCGTCAGGAAGAGGGGAGAGGAGAAAGAGAGGAATCGGGAAGGGAGAGAGAGAGAGAGGAGAGAAGGGGGAAGAGGAGGAAGAGATAGACAGAAAGAAAGGAGAGAGAAAGATAAATCAACATAGTAAGAGACAAATAAACCATACGGAAAAAAAGGAGAGAGAGAGAGAAAAAAATCAAACAAAAAAAATTAAAATGAAATCTACGATCGACGAAAGAGGGAACATGTAGCAGTGCAATTATAATAGTGCTTTTCGGAGGCGGAGTCAAGCACGTGCATGCTTTCCCTCTCTCCACCCAGTCAGTGTTCCCTGCCCCCTCCACGTGTTCGGACAGACGGGGGCAGTGCGTGCGCGTCCCCTTCCCGCTACCTCGCTTCTAGAAGGGCGCTCTCGTTTTCTGTTGGATGCGTTGTTAGAGAGGTATGGGGTGATCATCTTTCGAAAATCTAACTTTTTTGAGGAGAAAGGAAAAAGAGAAATTTGTCAATGGGAGAGGCAGCATTGGATTTTGTTTCGTCTTTTTATTCTTTGTTATGTGGATACGTTTTTGAAAATTTGTCGAGTGTAAAAGGCAACGTTAGATCATGTGTTTGGTGAATAAGAATACATTAGGAGTGTTTATGAAAATGTATGGCCGTGGATTCTGCGTAGGGTAACCACGCCCCTTTTCTCCTAATCGCCTGAGGACGTTAAAAGAAAAGAAAAAAAGAATGTACAAAAATGGTTGGTCTTATACCTTGATGTCTAATTTGCAAGCAATTTGATTATCATAAAGCGATTACTGTAAAATCACAGTAAAATTATTGAAATATTTTTGATCGTGTGATTCATGTGCTTGTATGATCCGTGCAATTCGAACGTGCGTAAATATACCTGTGGGAATAGGCATGGAAATTAATTAAGATACGAAAACTAAGTGTGCAGATACGGGACGCACACGCCAATACACGCTTACACACTCAAACTCAATTCAAACATAGAACCAAACACACAACACGTACGCACACTCACACGCACACATGAACAGTACGCCATCAAAACGCAACACACACATACACATTCACTTACATACACACACACACAGAGCAATCACACTCTCATTACTATACCAGCCACCTCAGGGCTGAAGACATAGACACCGCCCCCCTCCCCTACCTGCCTGCATTTCGTCAAGCACCCCGCCTCCCACCCACCCCACCCCCACCCACCCTCCTCCCACCTGTTCCTGTCGTCGTGTGCGTGACTGGCGCTTCTAGAACGGCGTCGGAACAGTCTCGAATGCGCAGTTAAACGAGCGAGAAATTAGGAAAACTTCTTATATAAAGAACATTACTTCTCATA